ATGCAAAGGTAATAAGAACTTTCAAAAAGTACCACCGTAGAAGATTTTGCCTTATGATATTAGAGGAATATGAGTTGGGAGAATATAATTCATAAAAGATTAATGTTTTAGATGACATCAATCTTGCAGCCTCAGCTTCAATGATAAATGTTCAGCAAGAGACAATAGCAAATTATTTTCGACACCGTAAAATTCATTCGCAGGATAAAATAGCCTCAAGAAATTTAAATGAAGAAACTACTAAATAAGGCATTCATGAACTTGATACGATGATTAATGACCTTGGGTACCACAAAAAAATGGATGCCAATCACCTATTGGATTATCCGGGTGTAAATGATACATGTTCAAAGGTCCGAAGTTTAGAATAAATTATAGCTATTGTTATTAAAAATCCTATTGAGAATGAAATTGAAGATGATATAATGCCTTTGCAACCAATTATACGGAAGGAAGCACTCATAGAAACAACAACTCTTCTCAATTTTTTTATAGTATGAGAATGTAACACCAGAACTTTTGGTGCAGTAAGAAAGTTGGAGATGAAATACAACTAGATTTAAATTTTAAGAAGAAACAAACTACAATATAATCATATTTTACTAAGTTGTCTTACTTATATTTGTAATTTTATAGAATTATTAATTTATAATATTGAAATGACAATAAATTTATATAAGAGTCTTCTAGAAAATTATTATCTTATTAATTTATCAAAATTATTAATTTAGAACTCGGGTCCAAGTCGGGACTGAGAAAAATTATTATTTTAGAGAGGTAATTAATTTATCAAGTATTAATTTATAGAGGTTATATTGTATTTTAAAATATTGAGAAAAAATGGCCTTAAGATAACTAAATATTCTATTCTAGATATTTTAAAATAATTGAATATTATATTTAGTGATGCCAAAAAAATCACGCTAAAAACTAATTGAAATAAAGAAAAGAAAAGGAAATGTTCCATTATTTAAACTTATCTAGGAAGAGTCGTTTGATTTATATTAAAGGCTTTGTATAATATTTTTAAATAACCGGACATTCTTTATTTTTTTCTAAATAAGAAGATATCAAAATAAATTGACTTATTTTTCATTTGACCTTTTTAAATAAGTTCTTAATATCGAATTCTTAAGGAGAAATTACGATATTCTGTTTATTCTAGTTGAAAAAAGAATTAGTTATCTTAATATACATTAGGATTTTATTTCTCTTCAATTGGAAATGATGAAATATCGTATTTTCTTCTTCTTTTATTCATCATATTAATAAAACGATATGTGTTTGCTTGTTTAAGAGGAATTATGATATTCCTTTTATTTCAGTTTGAGAAAGAAATAGTTGTCTTAATTATTTAAGAGATTATCTCTACTCAATTGGAAATGATGAATATTGTCTCTTTTTCCTTAAGATTCTCAATATTTGTATTTTTTGGAATAAAAGAATAATAATTTATATTTATATTCGAATTCACAATTTTCATTATAAGAGATAACGTATAATTGATGAGGTATTAATTTTGGGCATGTGGGGGTGCTCATCCTTCCCAATAAACTCTCGAACCATTTCAAAATGAATTTATGGTTACACACATACTTTTTTATCTTTTAAAAGATTTTTCTACAAAATTTATTTAAAAATAAGATTTTTTGGTTGCCAACCTACCTAACCCAAAGTTTGATGGTTACTCCTTTAAATTTTTAGCTTTTCACTTACAGTCGAATATCGCTACTTTTTCTCAAGTGTTAGGATCATTTCGACATGTGGGATACCAAAATAAAACCTAAACTAAATGTTACGTATGATTTTTGAAACAAAATAAAATTTAGATACCAAAATAGAACAAAAGTAATAGTTTAGGTGCTAAACGTATAATTTATCCTATATTTTAACATAAAAACACACCCAACATGCATCTAACTCCCATCAAACAAAGCACAAATAAGATGTTATACATTCATTTGATCATCGCACATGTCAGATTTCATTCAAAGTTAACATTAATGTTTACTTTATGATCATCGCACATGTCAGATTTCATTCAAAGTTAACATTAATGTTTACTTTATGAATTTACCAAGTATAAAAAATATTCTTCTTATAGGGAACCACTTATTCATTAACCACAACATGTACTCAATTAACTTACCTATGAACATGTTAATCTAGAACATATACCTAAATGCTATTGTAATATACGATTTTTACAACAATCATCTAAAACTAACATTCATAACTTAACATATCATAGCATCCTTATCATTAACATAACAAAAATATGACCAAATATATTACATTAATTATAAACATACTTCATCAAATATTCAAAATAACTAGGGTTTTTGTATCACTACCTTAGAAGTTTAAAAATAAAAGAATTTACACCGGTTGAAATCGTGAATTAACTTGTAAATCCTAAAATAAACATTTGAACACTATAACATAGTCAATCTCCCCCGAAAGTAGTTAAACAAATATAATGAGCTTTGAGAAGCATAGTGAGATAGACGAGACAAAATAAAGTATACTATATCAATCTTAATCAAATATAACACACTTTTGATCATAATAGGGTGATCATAACATTTCTTATACACAATTTACAAAATTAAAGCACAAACATTTAGATGCATTTCATTAAGTTTAATCCAATGATCTATTAATAGTATACGGATACTCAGATCTCATCTTCTCATCAAGTATTGATCTGATACAATATAATAAACATTTTCTCTCTTCGTCAAGAGATATAGTCCCAATAAATAATATCCATCATTTTCATTAAGATAGAAGTCTTAAAAACCCATATACAAGCTATAAAATTATGGCATGCCAATTGTACTCATACCTAAATTAATAACCAATAGCTCATTAAACCATATTATCAAAGTACCAGAAGTTGCCATTTTTCATTATCAGATTTGTACACAAATTACCATCAATATTAAATGAAGCATTTGGGTTGTTTTTATTTTTCATACATGACAAATTAACATATTTTTATAATAATATTATATCTCGCATAACAAATACATATTTTAGCATGTTATGATATATCATATCATCAAATCTTCATACCAAACACGTGAATGGATACCTTATCAATTAATATGTTAATCAAGTTCTCGTTTCAAAGTCGATACTAAATTAGACATTTTATAAGATTTTCCTTCATAAATCAAAATCATTGTTAAAGTGATTAGTTTGTTATATGGTTAGTTCGTAAGTTGAGTTCGTATATAAAGGATCAATTACTTTGTATATAGAATCTACATGAAATAAATATTCTTTCCTTATTCTTCTTCTTTTCAATACAAGGATCACTGTCAACAATCATAAAACACAGAAATACACATGTATATTCGATTTTGGCTACACTTACCTAATCTAAACTTAAGATATGTCTCGAATAAAAAAATTATTTGATTAGCTTATTTTTCCCTTACCTTGGATGTTTCTACTAAATCTTTTTGCGTTTCAAGAACAAGACACTATCAAAGACAAATGAAAACATAAAAAAAAACCCCCAATGCTTTAAAAATGCATTGATCCTCCTCATTTAGGGTTTAAAAGAAGATTATCAAGTCTTGAATAGATGACTCTAAAATGTTACTAAAACACTTTGGGATTAAGGAACTAGGCTTGAGTTTTTTAAATATTTAAGAAATTTTGAAAAAAAATAATTTCTCTCACTTAATCATCATGATTTAAGGAAGATGAATGAATCCTTTATTCTCTTTTTCAATTCTTTGGAATCAAGTGGTTGGAATCAATGAGTGTTGGTACAAGTGGTTGAGATTTAAGAATTTGAGCTTGTAAGACAAAGTTCAAACCCTACCATCATCACTCTTGGTGGACAGTTTGCAAATTCCTCATTTTCATTCAATTTCACTTACAAGTTTTTTGAGATAATTGACATGCACACTTGAACTTTCTCTCACTTTTTTATTTTAGTGTTTAAACTCTTCATTATCATTTCTTAATTTTTAAATTAAATCATGGATCAAAGTATCTTCTAATAAAATTGACTTAGTCAAATATGAAACACTTCTAAATGTTTAAAATTAAATCAACTCTTCAAATGATTTGTTGGTTATTAGAGAAAAAAATGATGGTTCAAGAATCTAAGAATATTATAATTCTCTTTCCTTAAAAAATTCATCATCGAATTTTACTTCAAGTAAACAAATGTGAATATTGCTCTTTCATTTGAATTTTTGACTTTTAGGTAGCTTTCTTGGACTTATGATTTCTTGAAGGAACTTTCACTAAAAGAATGCTCTTATTCCTCAATTCTTTCACTCCTTGAGTCGGAGTACTAATAAATTTTTCTTCATAAATAAGAATATTTATTCCTCAATTCTCTTATCCTCATAAGGTATATCATATACGCTCATGTTAGGTATCACCATAATAAATAGGAATTTACTTGTAAAGAACATTGGCAATGGGGTGGTCCAACAATCATGGCGACCAATAGTGATCAATGACAGAAATTGAAGGTGTTCGACAAAAATGATAAACGACAGTCAACGAAGGAAATTTAGAATATATTCAGGGGTCATATTGATATTTTATCTAAAATACAAGGGTTAAATTAATATTTTATATAAAGTTTAAGATCAAATAAATTTTCTATCTAAAATTTAGGAGTTAAGTTAAAATTTAACCAAAACATAATGTTTTTTTTAAAGAAACGATTATCAAAATAAGACGGGCCAAAACAAAAAGGATGAATGAATCTCCAGTGTAGGCTACCTATTTAAAAATTTAAAGGAAATTGTTTCAATCGAAATTAATCAAGTACAATGTTACAACTATTCTCTTAGAAGTGACGAAATTTGTGCAATTATGGACCCAGACCCTTTCTTTGTCTAAGCCTTACAGAATTGGGCTCACCTAGGTCACAATGTGATAGAATGGGTTGTTCAAGCTTCACCAGAGAGCAATACACAATACACTCATGTGCTTGATATATCCAAATGTAATCAATAGAAGAATCAAGCATTTTGTGGTAGCTAAGAGAAGGAGACAGTGAAGAGATGGAGACCAAACCAACAGAGATTAGCAGTTCGAAGATGTTCGAAGGTTACAACAAAAGATACAAGCATTTCAGTCCAACCCTGGGCTGTTCCATGACTTTCCATATCTACTTTCCTCCTTCCCCTTCCCACAAATTCCCTGTATGTTCCCTTTACCCCTCTCTTTGATGGGTTTATTCCCAATCTTATTGCAATTTTCAGTTTTTTAATGTGAATGGTCAAAGCTTTTTGTATGTGTTGACTGTTATTTGCTGATGAGGTGTAGAAAATATGGTTTTATTTTGCTATGTAAGCCTATGATTTATGTTGGAAGGGTTGATGATCAACGCCCTTTTGTTCTTCGATCTTATTCTTACATATATTGACTACTACATGCTGTCACTTGTTAATCTGCTCACTTATTTATGTGGATTTTCCCTTTTAGTTTTATGTTTTGCCTTGGCCAAAAGTGCTGCTTTCATTTCTCTGGTTGTGTGATTGTATGCCTTGTATCTTTGTATTTCAAGTCTTTATTGGCATCATTTATGCTATGTTGGTTTTTTTTTTCAGGTACATTTAGGTTCTATGAGATTTCCAAATCTTACAGTCTTGCATTCATCTTTGAGCAGGTACTTTATTGGCTCTCAGGGCTTACTTGCTCCGATGAAAATTTCATAATCAAGTCGGGAGCTCAGCGTGCCGCTTCAGCTGAGGGTGTGGCTCTAATTGCCCCTGATACATCTCCAAGTAAGTCATTTTTTAGCTAATCGTTGAGATGATTTTTCTGGCTTAGATACTTCAATTGCTGATTATCGGGCTAAAAGGTTATTGACTTGATTGTGATCCTGCTCATTCATTCTCCCTCTTTACGGGATTGTGACTCGGTTCAACCTAATTATCCTGACCCTGTCATATCCTTTTAGATTTTGATTACGGTATCAATAACCTTTGTGCAGCTTTGACTGAGTTAAATCCTCTAACCCTTTTGCTTGACAAAAAAAAAACCCACCCTAATGATAATACTTCTGATGGAGAATCTTACTCAATATTAAATCTTCAGGATGTTTCCTTAGCTTATTCGATACTGTTCCATGTTACATGCTTATTTCTATTACCATGACACAAGTAGCCGTCCCTGTGAATCTATTTGTTTGCTGAAAATCTCACAAAACCTGGTTTGCAGAGCTTTATGAGATACTTGATGCCCTTTGTTGTCGTCACGGAATCGTTCTATGGAATTGAATTAGAACTTCCATCTTTATCAGTTTTAAAGTTACTTATTCTCCTGTGCTTCACAATTTTCTTTTTCTTTTGGGCATGATACAAATATACAATCAAACTTCTTAAGGCAATAAAGTTAAATATGGTTTGTGTATAAGACATCAGTTTTTTTAAAGTGAAAATGAAAATTGGAATTTTAGTTTCTTACTGCAACTGATTAGCATTTATGATTTCAAATTATATTCTTCAAATTGCCATTTATCTACTAAATATACGGTGCTGAGTTCCCTTTTTCCCCGCTTATTCTATAGGAGGTCTGAATGTGGAAGGAGAGGCAGACAGCTGGGATTTTGGTGTAGGTATGTGGCATTTGGATTGTTATTTGAATTTTCAGATATCTGTTATGGTAAATCATAAACGTTTTATCTAGTATCAGACTGTTCTATCTCTCGTGGTTTAATTCATAGGAACTCTTCCTGGAGGAAAGTAAATTGAGGCATACAAGATTTCTTTGAGCTGGGAATTTTGATATTTTTAAAACGCTAGTATTTTGAAATAAAAGCATTTATGATTATTTTGTTTGAATAAATAAGTATCTTAGAAACATTTAGGCTGTTAGAATGTTTCAAAATCCCTCATCTTCTACATCCTCATCCAAACACATTCAAAGAATGCTTCTTTCCGAAGGTTTTAAATGCTATCTTTGTTATACTTCCCCTCTGTGGCAATAGCATAACTACTCTTTTTGGAAAGCTATTTGCAAATCTTAATGGAGCATTATTCGATAATTTTTCTATGCTGGTTCATGAGTAGTTGCATATCAATGTAATGGAAGCATATTGTTCTCTGACTGACTTGCTATCTCCTCTTCCTTCACTGTTCTATTATCTTTGCTTGTTTTTCAACTTTAAATTAGGTGCCGGATTTATCTTAATGCTACGCAAGAGAAGTGGAAGAACTGGCGTATGTACGATTATGTTGTGAAAGAACTGCCAAAACTTCTGAGTGAAAATTTCCCTCAACTCGATACATCAAAAGCATCTATTTCTGGTCACTCTATGGGCGGCCATGGTGCTCTGACAATCTATCTAAAAAACCTTGATAAGTATAAGGTAGTTTAGTTGACGGACATTCCTTTTTGCTCATTTTGCTCTATAGATTTTAATTTATCTTTAGTTTTGTGACTTCTTGGGGTTTCTTTTTCTTTTTTGGTCTTGTGCTAAGTTACTTGCTTTCTCCTTCCTGTGTTTATACTTTGCAGTCCGTGTCTGCATTCGCTCCCATTGTCAATCCTACAAATTGCCCCTGGGGTCAGAAGGCATTCACAAATTATCTTGGCAACGAAAAAGCTGCTTGGGAGGTGAAGTTCCAAATGACTAATGAATGCCCTTCATTTTTACCTAATTTTACATGTAGTGGAGATTAATACGCCTCAAAACTTGCAGGAATATGATGCCACTCACCTGATCTCGAAGTTTCATAATGTTTCTGCTACAATTTTAATCGATCAAGTAAGAGCTGAATGTCTTATCTATGTTACCGAACACAACTCATATCTAACTCTTTTTTCTCTTCTTTTTTGGGTGGGAAGGAGCATAGATGTCTTATTTTTCCTTCCTCCTATACAAGAGTTCTTTCAAGTTTATTAAGTTTCGGTATTTGACCCTGTAGATGATGTCAGACGTACTTGTTTCGGCCTACTTATCAGTGATTATTTGGGGAATATTAGAAAAAAACATGTTTTCTAAGTTTTCATTTTTATTTTTCCTAAGAAAAATTGAGTGATTAAATCCTAATTGGATATAACCATGAAGTACTTTACGGTCTTAGTGCTCCCTTTGCTGGTTACCCTACTATACATCAATAAAATTTACACAATTCTTTAATCTCACAACGATACATGTTCGAGAAAAATCTGCAAGAAACGATTACAATTTAGATTGCTGTCAGAAATGATCATTTGAAAAGCTGAGAAGGATCGTATGAACAATCCTTTTAGGCATTCATCTTAAGTTGAGGATGAGTGAGGGAAGGAAATGCCATCAAGTGGAAAATATGTCTGCTTTCGTAATATTCCATATATATATATTCCTCAACCAATGTTTGTCTGTATTGTTTTTTTTTTGTCCGGTGCAGGGACAGGATGACAAGTTCTTGCATGATCAACTTTTGCCGCACAGGTTTGAGGAGGCATGTAAGAGTGTGAATGCTCCATTGTTATTGCGATTGCAGCCCGGTTATGACCACTCCTACTTCTTCATTTCCACCTTCATTGATGATCACATCCGCCACCATGCTCAAGCTCTTAAGCTCTGAATACTACGAGGTTATCTGCACTTAGCAACTTGATGGATTTCTAAACAAAGTGTGGAGTATTTTCCTGTTGATTTATGCTTGGAGTTTTAGGCGTATGCTCTTTGTGGGTTTGTTTTGCTTTATTATGTCCATAGCCTTATCCTTGAAGGAGCATATAAAACATAAAAATCAGTTGTGATGTAAAAGACCACTTTTACTGCTGGGAGAATTTTTTTTTTTTTTTAAATCTGCTTTATTAAATATATTATTTAACCAATAATCAATTGATTTAACGGGACAAGAAAGACCATTCCCGTAATATATTTATGCATTATTTAATTTAAATTTATGGGTTAATTTTCCTTTGAAAAAAAATAAGTATTCATCAAATAGACATCCGAGGTACAACAGAGATAAGATAATCTAACATGGAAACTCAAAAGGAATGAAGAAAATAAAACAAAAGCCTTATGTTGAATACATACTTCATCTTCTATAAAACTTGGTAACTAACAATAATTTTTTTGTCTCTATTTAAACTAGATACAATAATAATGTAGGTGTGAAGATTGAGAGAATCAATCTAACATTATTTTGTGAATCGTTCTGAATTTATCGAAAAACTGTCGCAAAAGGAGATCTAACTATAAAAAATTGCCGACCTTTAATGATTAGGAGGTTCGTCACGATGAATACAACGTGAAACGTCAAGCAATCATAATGATAGATAAAATTATACCATAAAAGCAGGGGAATGATTGTGCTATAAAAACATACAAAAATAAACACTCCAAGAATAAATGGAAAGAAAAGAAATCAAAACAGAGATAATATTTATTTAAATATAAATCAAAATAAAATTAAGCAAAAATATTGAAAAAAACAACAACAACAAAACTAGATTGTTGCCTAAGACGACACTTTAAAAGAAAAACTAAAAATTAATTTAGAGAGAAAATTAAGACTACGAAAAAAAAGTCTTATGATATATACTTTAAAAAACTCTTATGTTATAAAAACTATAAATATAGGTCAATGAATTAAATATTAATAGATAAAATTAAGTAAAAAGAGAAAAACTAAAAAAAACTAAAAAATTAATTTAGAGAATGTCGACACCGTTTTTCGTCTGGGCGAGAAAAATCTTAATACAACTTGGGGGTTTTTTTGAAAATTTTGAAATGTGAGGAGTCGCCATCGACCTTTTGAGTTAGGTAAGTTAAAATCCATAAACTGCCTTTTAAAATGTTTTTAAGAAAACATCATTTTAAAAGATGCACTGATCTACGTATAACCAAAAAAAAATTGTAATAAAAAAAGATTCGGGGTCGATTACGTGTGGAGAATGATAAGCACCATCACAACGCCCAAAATTGGTACCCATCGATTATAAACTGTCTTTAATAGTGGAAATCTAAAAATTTAAATATAAATTTAAGTTATGATCCTATTATTCCAAATTCAACCATGCAATTTTTATTTAACGGAAAATTATAAGAAGAAATAGAAAACATTCCAATATTTCTAATCGAAGAGAAAATAACTCCTAAAATACTTTAGGACAAATATTTATCTTTCCAACTGAAATGAAAAGAATATAATAATTTCTCTCAAGAATTCGAGATTAAGTAAAACATCTATAATATATATATATATAAGTATAAAAATATCTACCATATGCATATTATTGTCTAAAGTCATACTATATATATTATACTACAGTGCTACACCTATTCATATATAAAAAGTCATAGTTTGGACTTAAATGCTACATGGAGTTATAACCAATAATGTACAGAACAAACATATATGTCTAACACATTCAATATTATATTACAATAAAATATCGTACATATATATAGGTAAACATATGAAAAAGCAATCCTTAGTAATGAATAGATAGATACTAAAAGGAATCTACATTTAATAAATAGCTATATATAGCTATATAATAAAGTAAATTAATGCAAATGTTTATTATGATTTGAAATGCATGCAAGGGAAATAAATTTAAAATACCAAATAGAAACAAATAAAAGGAAATTAAAGCAAAAATGGAAATTAAATGCAACTCAATGCTAGAAATAAAATTTTGACTAGTTAACAAGTGAATACTTAAAAATAAATATTATGTTGAACAGACAAACAAAATATAAATACTAAAATGAACATTACAAAAATTAAAGTGCTAAATAATAAAGCTTAAATAATAAATACTAAAATGAACTTTACAAATGTAAATAAGGAAATTAAAGTGCTCAAGTTAAAAAATAACAGAAAATTGTATAACAAGGAAAAAGGACTAAAATAAAATAAACAGAAAATAAGGCACAATAATTAAAGGACAAATTAAAGTACTGCAAAAATAAGGGACTTAAATGTAATAAAATAAAAATAGTCTTCCAAATCAGAAATAAGTATTGACCAAAATGCGTAAATTAAAGATTTAGCATTAGATTCATAAATAAATAAAGGAACAGAATCAGTCAGTGGCTAGAATGAAGCAGAATAAAGAAAAATCAATGACCAATTTCAAAATTAACATAATCCAAGATGATGACCAAATTGAAATAAAATGCAATATGATGTCAAAATCGAAATAAATAAACAAAACAGACACTTAATGACTAAACTGTAAAAACAAGGCAAAGTTATGAGAACCTATAGGTGATTAATCCACTAAAAAGTGGCCTAAATGCATAGTACGCCAAACGAAAAGGACATACGCATAATTTACTCCTAAGAATGGTGAACATTTTGTAAATATAAGCTTAACTTAGGAGGACTAATGTGTGATTTACCCAAAGTTTAATATGAACCCATATTTACTAACCTAAAATAAAGTTTCAGCCGACCCTTTCTTTCTACTCTCCTCCCTATCTGTTTCACGAACAGTGGTCGTACCCTTGACCCAGGGCCTATGCCAATGCTGGCCACCAAGCAACGGTGGCCTCCTCACTCCTACCGATATCTTAGGCAGTTGAAAAGCACCCTGCCTCCCCTTTCTCACTAACACTCTTCGCGCCACCAAACAAAGAAAACCCGAGATGGAAAGAACAACATCGACCACCGCGAAGTTGTGGCCAACCTCAACCCCGACTGTTCTACCAAGACGAAAATGCTCTCTTCCCTCTCTCACTAAACCCAAGTTTCGGTCGAGAGCCCCTAGAAGTATACCCGACCCCGACGGAGCCACGCCAACCTCCTGTCGATCCAAAGTCGGCGACGAACGACCTTAAGACCGACAACCACTCAGCTAAGGTAAAATTAACTACCTTTATTCCTTCTCTAAGAAGTTTCAATTCCAAAATACCAAAAAATGGGTTGCTGAAAAAACACCCTTTTTTATTGAAATGTTGTTGCATTGCTTTGTATTGATTTTGATAATGGGGAAGGGATGTTACAATCTTTCCAGAGAAAAAAAAAAGAAAATCGGGGTCCTCTCTCTATTACAATTTGTTTGGGGGTTTTTTATAACACTTTTTTTACATTTTAAATAAAAATGTATGGTTGCTGATTTGGTGAGGATTTGGTGTTGATTTAGAGAGGTAGATGACGTGGAGTATTGGAGATGAGGGCATGAGGCTGCTGTAACCAGGTATGGCTGATGACAGGCATGGTGAGTTAGTGGAGTATTTGATAAAAAAATTGGTGTTTACAGCTGCCCCTCTTTGCTCATTGATGTGAAACATGAATAGAGCAAAGACATGAAGTACCAATTTTTTCATCTGATCAGACTGCGAAACACTCGAGCTCCAAGTTCTTCTTATCGGGTGAGTTCTTCTCATTATGAACTCATAGCTGGGGATGTCAATCCACTATCTTCTATGATGGTTGACCCAAGGTGATGCTGATCCAACTCCTTATGTGATGGATTTGAGTGAAATGAAAATGTTGATCCACCTCATTCTGTGATGAAATCGAACGAAGTGTTGGTGTTGTTCCAACTCCTTATATGATGGAAACAAGCTAAGGTTGAACAAGTTCTTCTCATTATGAACTTCTTCTCCCTTATCGGATGAGTTCTTCTCATTATGAACTCTCCCCTGAACATGTTGATCCCTCGAGTGAGGTGTTGCTGATTCAACTCTATATGTGATAAATCGAGTTAAGGTTGAACAAGTTCTTCTCATTATGAACTTCTTCTCCCTCATTGGATGAGTTATTCTCATTATGAACTCTCCACTGGAAATGTTGATCCCTCGAGTGAGGTGTTGCTGATTCAACTCCATATGCCATGATTCAAGCTAAGGTTGAACAAGTTCTTCTCATTATGAACTTCTTCTCCCTCATCGGATGAGTTCTTCTTATTATGAATCTCCACTGGAAATGTTGACTGGTTTATCATTTCTTTGAAGAGTTTTCAACCTGCAAAAGATTATCATATGTCAGTAATAATTGTGTTTGAAGGGGGCTCAAAGGTCCTCGAATTTTGTTGAGATCTATTTCTTTCAAAGGTGAAAAATATAGACTGGTTCTTTACTGAAGTTGTGAAATGAAATCTTTGTTGGCTCTTTGAATTCCTGTCATATATTCAAAACTTGATACGAAGAATGTATGTGCTCATATTATGCAAATGCCTGAATATATATGCATGATAGCATTTTAGTGTTACAAATTCTACTGTCCATTTTAAATGCACCATGCTTGAAAGTCTTATGGATGGCCTGAAAGACTTAATCACCATGCTCGAAAGACTTACTAGTGACCCGAGGGACGTACTAAGTAAGAAACTTTGTGAATCATTTTCTTACTTTTCAAACGAAATTAATTTTCAGAAAAGATTTAAATGAGAAACTTTGAAAATTGCTTTCTCATTTTTTGAAAATCATGTGAAAACATCCTGCCCGTAGGTCTTATGGATGGCCCAAAGGACTTATCATCTTGCTCGAAGACTTATAGATGACCTGAAGGATTTAAGCATCATGCTCGAAATCCTTACTGATGGTCCGAAGGACTTATCAATTAAGAAACTTTTGAAATATTTTTCTTACTTTTCAAGAAAAATCAACTTTCAGAAAAGATTTAAATGAGAAACTTTGGAAATGATTTCTCATTATTTTGAAAATCATATGAAAACATCCTGCCCGAAGGTCTTATGGATGGCCCGAAGGACTTATCATCTTGCTCGAAAGACTTACAGATGACTCGAAGGATTTAAGCATCGCACTCGAAAGACTTATTGATGGCTCGAAGAACTTACTCATCAAGAAACCCTTGA